TTGTCCTCTCCTCACGGTGCTGCTGACCCACTGCCAGTTAGCACTCTGCCCTCCTGCTGTGCCAGAAAGCAGGATGCCAGGAATAGAAGCTGAATCCCATGGCGTGGCAGTGCATGATAGCTAGGACGCTCTACTGACTGATTTTACCAGCTGAGCAGACTTGTTTTCCCAGCTCTTTTGACAAGTGTGTGATCAGAGAGGGTTGTCATAAAAAGGGATGAAAACTCTGTTTACTACTGAGCACTCTGCCCTCCTGCTGTGCCAGAAAGCAGGATGCCAGGAATAGAAGCTGAATCCCATGGCGTGGCAGTGCATGATAGCTAGGACGCTCTACTGACTGATTTTACCAGCTGAGCAGACTTGTTTTCCCAGCTCTTTTGACAAGTGTGTGATCAGAGAGGGTTGTCATAAAAAGGGATGAAAACTCTGTTTACTACTGGTCTCTAGGCCCAGGTTTTAGCAATGATGGGACAAACAAAGGAAGCTGAAAAAATGACTAACCATATTGTGACAGAAGACGCCGAGTGCTTAGAATGCTACCGCCTTTTATCAGCTATCTACAGCAAGCAGGAACATTACAGCAAGGTACAGTGGAATCTGTATGCTGCTGTGTATTTGTGTCTTTCCCTCTCTCACACGCACACACACACTTTCTTTCTCTCTTTCTCTGTCTCAAAAGGTTTGGGATAAATTTTAATCTCCGAACAGCCAAAGGTTAGATCCTGTCCTGATAGATGTGTAGCAAGGGGCACAGAACTACATTAGCATTTGTACATGCACAATAGCTGAATTGCTTTATCATGTTTCCATTCATCTAGATTGGTGTTTCTCAACTTTTTTGATAGCAGGGCCTACCTGGCTGCATTCCTGAATTGTGGCTGGAAAATCTCAGGGCCTGGCGCCAATTTATGGACTAGTAGTTGAGAAGCACTGATCTAAGGAATAGGATTGAAGGCTACATTTGATTTTTTTTCAGAGATGTTGAATACTCAGTTCTTACTGACTCTAGTTGAAGGGGATTGGTCAGCATCTTTGAAAATCAGGCTGGGAGGTGCTAGAATTTCAGTTTCTGAATGTGATTTAAGTCCAGGGACAAATAAAAATTGGGGAGTAGGGGTGGTGGTGCTCAGTTGCTCATGTGCTTAAATAACACTGTGATGGCATAGCATAAGAACTTGAACAGGATATAGTGTCCTTTCTCTCTTTTTCTGCAGGCCCTTGAAGCTATAGATAAAGCTTTGCAGCTAAAACCAAAGGATCCAAAAGTCATATCGGAACTCTTTTTTACTAAAGGAAATCAGCTAAGAGAACAAAACCTCCTTGACAAGGCGTTTGAGGTATAAGAAGTAACAGCTCTAAAGCACATGGTTATGTTTATATAGTTCAAGAACTGAGCTCACTAGTTGTAATTAGTACTCTGCAGAGAGTAAGCATAGGCCTTTTTCACTTGTATACCTCATCTGGTCACCAAATAGTACATCTGGGGTTATGGAAGAGGTGTGTCTCTCCCATAGTTAAAGTTATAACAGTGTTCTCTCCACCTCCTTTCCTCTGACTATTTATACACACAAAAAATCTCCTTCCAATTTGGTAGGTGAGATGTGTAACTAAGGAGTATCTCTCTACCTCTGTGAAATCAGTTTTAAGTCCTGAATCATGAGGTTTAACACCGGGTCCAAATTTTCTGTTACAATTAACTACAATTCTGAGTATTCTTGTCCATAAATTTCCGGATGTGCTTTGAATCCTTTTTGTGTTACAATTTCCCAAAAAAACAGATGTTCGTTAGAGTTCAGACATTTTTAACTTTTCCCCCACATTTGTAGAAACAAAATAAAGGGGGAGGGAAAGCTCCCATAGGTCTTTGTTAAATCTGCATACAGGTGTCCATGCTATAAAGAGAGATTGCAACCATTCAGTGGTTAAAACCTTGCCAATGTTCTCTCCACCTCTACTGCTGGCGGGGAGTCAGGGAGATGTTTTCCTCATCAGAATGTATATTATGTGCAGAAGGTAGCTGTACATTTCAGAACATCCCTGCAGCTCAGGATTAGCAGAAGATAATGCACTGCCCTGGAAATTGCCTTGATTATTCCCTGCAGGACTCTGCAGGCAAAGCAAATTCCCCCTGATAAATCCTTCTGGGAAATGGTCATTTCATTTGTTTCCATTTAAGTCTCTGAAACTCAATGCACAATGTGCATGTAAGAAAAATCAGGAAAGAATTCAGCTGTATTTGAAAGGGTTCGGTTGGGGATGTCATTTCCCCCCTTAATATGGCATTTAGTCAGAAGCACAAGCATCTTATTCTGAAGACATTTCATATTTATTTAGAGCTATAAACTGTCTGTGGAGCTGAACCCAGATCAAGCTCAGGCCTGGATGAACATGGGAGGGATTGAGCATATCAAGGTAGGAAAATCTCATGCTTTTGTGCAGACTGTCAAGAGGACATTTCTGTTCTTTAAAGTACGATGCTGAACTTGCCTTTAGGCACTTAAGTAGTACATGTTCAGTGTGTCGTCTTTTGTCCCCTGTGTCTGATGCACGTCTGTTACAGCCCAAGCTAGAGATCCTGGCTATAACTCACTTGTAAAGCTTTGTGCCTTTAGTTCTGGAAATCCCTAGTTCACCCCCTGGGGTGGTGATCAAAATGAGAGTCAGCACACACATATCCAGCAGATCTAGACACCACCAAGAGGGGAGTGCCTGGACTAAGCAATTAAATCAGAAAAAAAGGGAGCAGGAATATGGAATGCTAAGAGCTGCCTCCCTTCACAGAAAGGTTGATAATTCAAGAAGTGGGCACGAAGATACTGACGGTGGGAACGTTGTGATCATAGTCTCATAGAGAGGGTTGCTCTTGCCCTACCAAAGCTGTGATTAGCTCATAACCTACAATGTATGTTTTTAAACAGTTAGATAAATATTCCCAGTCTCTGCAGTTGGGCATCAGCCCTTTAAATTCCTCCCTATCTAATCCACTTGACAATAGTGTCTAATGCATAATACTGACACCAGTTGATGGAAATATGGTGACAAAACCTGTGATTTCATCATTGCATGATTACTGTAGCATAATTATTCTGAATGCCCTAAAGATATTAGTTGTACTCATATTATACATCTCTAACTTGGACATTACAGCACTGTTTTAATCTGCTTCTTGCCATGTCCCTGTTGATCTAATTCAGTGTTTCTCAACTGTATTTTATAAAGTACCCCTTTAAAAAAATTATAAGTACCCCCAATACCTACAGTTTTCAGACACACAACAGTTTTTTTACCATTGCAACACATTCATTTAAACAACTTAATCACAGCCAGGCAGGCGATGAAATTTTTGGGTGTAAAGTACAAAAATAATAAAGCGCTGTAAAAGTTAAAAATTCAGTTTTCTCCAAATTTCAATTGTGTTGGCGTACCCCCCAGACTTCTCTGAAGTACCCCTAAGGGTACTCGTACCACTGGTTGAGAAACACTGATCTAATTTAGGCACAGAGTGAGTTCTTCTCAAATACCAGTTGACCAATTTAATGAGTGGAGTGTTGTTGTTTCAAAACATGTCAAACATGCTTTGTAAATTGCCTTTTCAATCCATTATGGAGCTTGCTGGTGTCAGGCAGTGATGTTTCAATCTCAGAGAATATGAATGACACTTTTTTCCCTCCTTTATAGGGAGATTATGTCACTGCACGTAGCTATTACAAGAAAGCTTTACAGCTGGTTCCAAACAGCAAGCTGCTGAAGGAGAATCTGGCTAAACTGGATCGCTTGGAGAAACGATTGCAGGAAATCCAGGGAAAAGATCAGACGTAGCTAGTGGAAGGAGCTTTGTGCCCCTTGCAGAAGAATGAGGTGGAAGCCCACCGGCAGAAGAGATGAAGGAGCTGTGAAATGACTCATAATTAAAGATAGCTAATTTGGGGCACATATGCATCACCAAAGTTGCGGGAGACCCATCATTTCTATTAGGGTATGCTGAATAATGATTGAAAGCCCTGTTTTAATAAAGATGTATGTTTGGGTTTGATGCATATTGCTGCCATTAGCACTGTAAGTGGGAGATGTACCTTTGATGTCCTGGTCTCTCGCTTCCCAAGCTGGATGGGCTGTAGAAGCAAAGTTTCATCCATTGTGGCAAGGGATTGAGCAGTACTTCTTGTTAGTCAACATTCACCCATCTAGCCCACTTAAGGAGTGTTGTCAGTGGTTTCCAAAACATGCCCCATGAAGTCCTTCTCAACCAGGACGATGGTGATAATGATCAGCAGAGCATGTCCCAAGATCATTACAGGGGTTAAAGCTGGAAGAAAGGGTGGCCATTTTTTAGGGCCCCAACAATACATTGAAAATGACTCCAAGGAAATGGAGAATTATATCTGGACACTACAGTCTCTGAAAGTGATGAGTTTAAGACTAGAGCTGCTAGTCCTTTGAGGAAAAACCTCAGCTGAATGTTTTACTCTGAAGATAATCATTTTTGTAACAACTCATTCTCACGATATCAAAAAATTGTCAGAAATCACATGACTTTTTTGCCCAATCAGAATGACTATTTCTATGAAAAAAAAATCGGAACTCCCATTGGTAATGTGGAATTCTTAAATGACTCCACCTCTTCCCCTCCCCCAACAAAATCTATATTTTTAAATATTGAGTGGGACGGCAAGTGTGCCTCAGATTATGAGCATTTATTTTTGAGTGTTATTTATTTTAACTTATAATAAAATGTTTAATATATTTTTCTCTGTTTATAAGAGTTGGACAGCATCCTTCCCAGCTAGCAGTATGGCTTGTGGTCGTTGCTTTTATTGTATAAAGTTAGAAAATAGGGGGTTTGTTTGAATAATTGTGATTGTGTAATTGAGGTTGTGTTTGAATAATTCTCCCTCCTGATATATTAAATTGAATGTTGGACCAAATATTCAATACGGCAGTGCCCAGCCCATTGATTTGTAGAGTCGCACCAGTTGAGCTAAGATAAGAGTTTGATCTGTTGTCAGTAGTAGAGGGAGTTGAGAAGGTTAGATGGGGCAGTACATGAATATCCTACTTTTTCACTCCAGCCAGCAGATCATCTCACAAGTTTGTTATTCTCATCTTAGCCCCCATTATGAAACCATCATACAGTTTGTTTCAGCCCGGTTGCCATGTCTTTGCTGAAGGTCATTGAATTCATAGTGTGTGGTTCAAGTTGGGACTGAAGAGCATTCACACAGCCCTATCAGGGAAATCTTGCATGGCACTGGCCCGTGGCATGAACCACTGCTAGTAGGGTGTTACTATTGTGAGCTCTAAAAGCACTCAGGAGTAAATTAAAGACATCTCTATAGTTAAGCATAATCATGGGATGATGATGTGGGTCTTTCTGCTTTATTCAAGGGGCTTGATTCCTAACTGCCACTTTTTGTTGGCAAAAATCACAGATAATGAGTCTAGAAGTCAAAAGATTATCACCCAAGCAGAGGGCAAATTCAGTGGCTCCAGTGGTAGGGCTGAAGCACACCCACACAGGATTATGTTCAGTGATGCTGAAGAGTATTGATTTAGCGTCTGCATATAGCCAGATTATTCTTTGAGTGCTTACTGAGGTACATTCCATGTTAGATTTTTCCCTCAGTAGTATCTTTCGGGCCAGCTCTAGTGCCTTCTGGTGCCACACCTTCTCAGTTTTTCTTACCACTCACGATGGTTGCTGGAACAACTCTTGCTTCAGCAAGGCATTTCCAGTGGTTTGTTCTCTCCATCCGACTTTCTTAGTCTTTGTATAGTTGTCATGAAAATAATGCTAATGTAGATAGTTAGATCCTCTCTCTTATCATGAAGTCCCTTGACTTCAAACCTTGTGCCTCCTGTATCAAGCCTATGCCTATGAGCAGCCCACACTCCAGTTCTCTGAAGTGTCTGGGAGAGGCTCGCGTAAGAGATTTGTCAGGACTTTAAGCCTTGTATGAAGAAAGACAGAGAGGCTGGATTGAGGTCTATCCTAATGGAACCATCTCTCAGCCTGGCTTCAGAGTCAAGCTGCTCAGACTCAGCACAGAGCACTTTGTTCTTGATACAGCGTGCTCCTTTGGTTCTGCACAAATCCCAGCATCCTTTTCCATTTCCAGTGCCAAGGAAGAAATGTAAACAGCGCTGCTCTGAGAGAAAGAGAAGCAAGGGGAAGGCAGAGGAGTGCAGCCTCGGTTGGGCCACTCCTCCACCCTGCTTCCATAGCAGCGCCGTCTCCTCCACACAGAATGTTGATTCTGGTATGGAGCCCCCAACACCAAGAAATCATTGTGACACCAGCCTTCAACCCCAGAGGCCTTTGCAATGACCGGGGACTTATTGCTCTCAGGACCTGCTAACTCCAGTGGGATAACCACTGACTCAACTAGCAAGAGCTGGAGAGAGCATAGTGGTCCAAGCTCCTTCCCAGCACCAGAACCCCCAATACCTTCGATAGGCAAACCAATCCTGTTCTCTTCTACAAGGTCATATCTGGTCCACAGATCCTTGACACCAATCAACAGAAGTGAGAAGTATCATTCCTCCCATAGTCACCTTGGGAGGACACTTTGGGTATGTCTAGACTACATCCTTCTGTTGCCAGAGGGATGTAAATTAGACATACTGAAATTGCTAATGAAGCGGGGATTTAAATATCCCACGCTTCATTAGGATAAAAATGGCTGACGCTTTTTGATGATGCGGCAATTTGCCGGCAAAAAGCGGTAGTCTAGACGGGGATCGGTTGACAAGGAAAGCCTTTTCCGACCGATCCTATAAAGCTCGTCTAATTTAAATCCCTCTGGTGACAGAAGGATGTAGTCTAGACATACCCTTTGAATCCAGGATGGAGCCCTACACTCATCCCAAGAACCACCTGTCTTAATCCCCCTAGAATCTCACTGGTACCTGGTTAAGTGGACAGTGGCCTGTGCAATGGTCATTCTGGAACTCATGAGGGTTTTCCCCAGTACCAGATCCACCTTTCCATCGGTCATAGTTGCTTCCAAGAGGAAGGGCCCCTGTACCACTCTGCTCGGTATAGACCCTGACTCCCATACCAAACATGGCATCAATACACAGGATGTGGGCCCCACGTAGGTAATTGAGGCTGAAGAAAAGGAAGATGCCTCCACCCATTCACAACACCACAACCATGTTCTGCATCAACAAACAGGGCAGAGCAGGCTCCTCTGCCCTATGTCAGGCCATGTCTACACTACTGGCTAAATCGGCACTTCAGCACTGGATGTAGTGGTGTCATCCAGTCTGGTGAAGACATGCTAAATTGATGGGAGAGCACTCTCCTGTTGATGTCTGTACACTCCCTCCCCAAGAAGGAGAAGTTATGTTGACGGGAGAGCATCTCCTGTCAATACATACCACGCTGTACACACTGCTATAAGTCAACATAAGTTACGTCAATGTTGATCATATAACTTACATAACAGAATGAAGGTAACTTAGATTGACTTGGAATATTAGTGTATACCAGCCCTCAGGAGGCTATCATCTATGGGACTTTTGCATGAAGCATGACATTCACCTCAAAGTTTCCCATCTTCCAGGAGCATGGAACACCGTGGCAGATCTTTCTCCTCCCACCATGAATGAATGATCCCTTCCTCTAGAGGTCCCCAGAGTCATCCTCTGAAGACAGGGATCTTGCCAGGTAGGCTTGTTGGTTCTCAAGCAGAACAGGAAATGACATCAATTTTTGCTCACTGCACCAGCACATCCCAGACTCCCTTTCAGACAGCTTCCTGCTCCATGGACAGAGCTCCTATTCTATGCATTTCCTCCAGTTCCTCTGGCACACATGTCACTTCTAAAAATCAAGTGAGGCAAGGCGAATGTTATTCTTATATCCCTGGCATGGCCAATACTGAGAGTGTTTCAGCATGCTACTAGACTTATCAGTAGCACCCCTACTACCACCCCCCTCTGCCCAGACCAGATGTCACAAGACCACGGCCACTGCCTCCACACGTCCCTTCACCTGACTGCATGGAAGCTCCGTGGCTGAATCCAGAGGAACAAGCCTTTTTGAAACAAGTTTGACAGGTCTCGCTGGTTAGTAGGAAGCCATCTACTAGTGCTACCTACCTTACCAAGTGCAAAAGTTTCTCAATGTGATTGTCCGAATGAGGCCTTTTTCCGACTCAGTCTTCACTTACATCAGTTCTGGACTACTTCATCTAAAACAACAAAGCGGGGCCCTTGCATCTATCTGGGGGTGCACTGAGCATCAATTTCAGCATTCCATCAGCAAACGGGGGTAGTAAGTTTTCTCTCATAAAATGACAATCCGCATTTGTAATAGGTTAGAGAGCCTTTACTGTCAAGTTTGGGAACTGGTTCACCCATAGGATTTGAACTTGGTCCTATCAGAACTCAGAAGCCTTCCCTTTGAGCCACTAGCATCATGTCTTCTGCTGTTTCTCTCCGGGAAGGTTGCCTTTCTGATGGAAATTACCTCAGCCAAATGGGGCTCTGAAATAAGGGTCCTTATGTCAGAAACACCGTGCACTGTGTTCTTCAAGGACAAAGTTGAGCAACATTGTCATCAGTCCTTCCTGCCAAAGGTGACTTCGCAATTCCATACTGAACAAGCCATTGTCCTGCCAGTCTTCTTCCCAAAGCTGCACAAGAATTCAGAAAAGTGGTGACTTTTATTGGATGATAGGTATCTTCTTGTCTTCTACATTGAGAGGAGTAAACCATTTCATGGATCTATGCAACTTTTTTGGTAATACCAGAGAGGAGGAAAGGCATGCCGGTTTCAGCCCAGAGACTCTCATCCCAGATAACCCCCTATATTCAGGCAGGAATGTTCCTCCACCTGCCATTTTGACTGCTCATCCCATAAGAGCTCAGGCCTCTTTAGCAGCATTTCTGGCCCAGGTTTCCACCCAAGGTGTCTGCAGGGTCACAACTTGGTCATCAATGCATCCCTTTTCATCGCATTGTACCATCACCAAAGAGGCTCAACAGGACACCTGGTTTAGGAGAGCAAATGTTACAGAACACATGTCCATGAACTCTGAGACCACCTCCTTGGGAAGTGCTTGTGAGTTATCTAATGCAGAATGGACATGGGCAAGCACTCAGAGAAGAAAAAACAGCTACTGACCTTCCATAACTGTTGCTCTTCAAGATGTGTTGCTCGTGTCCATTCCACAACCCAACCTCCTACCCCAGCACCAGATGGTGCTAGAGACCACTGAGGAGAAAATCCCTGGCAACAGTGCATGGAGTACACACATTCGTAATGTGGAATGGACGTGAGTCACGCATCTCAAAGAACAGCAGTTATGGAAGATCAGTATTTTTTTTTCCAGGAGCTCAGGAAGACTGTGAAGTTGTCCAGGGGCTTGACACTAACAGCTGGATGGGAACTGATGGAACCTTTGCATTTCTGTGCTTCTCCTTCTGGATCATCTTCATTTTCTATAGAGATTAGTTCCAACTAGGACCAAGTGTATGTCTGTATTGGTATTTGGGGACCCGTTCACACCTGCAAAAATTATATTATTTCTCTTCCATCTCTGCTACCTGCCTTCTTGCTTATACTTGTTTTTGAGGGACAGAGCAGCAGCTAAATCTCTCTTTCTCTCTCCCCCCTACAAAGGAAAGATGCTTATGCCCACGCAGAGACTCTTTGAAATAACTGAGGTTCAGGGCAAGTGGCAAAGGTATGTGCTGTGAATAACTTAGTGCCTAATCCCATGAGGTGTGTGGTGCCATCAGTTAACTTCCATTGACATTAAGGAGAGAGCTGACATGTCAGAAGAAAGGTCCTTTTTGCATGGTATTCTAGGCTCTGGAGTGAGAAGGATACTATTGAATAGAGTCATGTCCTGCATGTCAGCTAAGCTATTGTTTACAAAGATGCTTGTATCAATGCCACGTGCTATCCCATGAGCCATAGCTTCCCTAGATGTGTTTCCTATAGTCCCACAGCACTTTGACACCTAGCCGAAGACAGCTGAGGATGCAGGGATGAAGGTAATCGGAGTTGGGTGGATGAGAGAATCTTTTGTTTTTAAAAATTGTATAAAATATAAACTGAGCCACAAAAAAGTAAGTTAGACAGAAATAAAGTATATTCCCTCTGCCCCACTCATGTGTGACTTTAAAATGTGGCCAATTAGTTTATTTTCCAAATAAAAAAAAGTTGTATTTTTTAACACTACTCTGAGGGGAAGGGTGTTTAATTTTAGCTGAAAGTTTTTTGTGTGTCTTTTCTGACTAACCTAATAGGAGGGCTGGGTTGTTATCACGATAGCATTCAATCAAGGCCATCCCAACCTGCTAAAGCTTGTCCTTTTGTAAATGTTGAATAGGTTTCCCTGAGCCAGGGAAAATATATCTGCCATAATCTATAGGAGATATGCATTACTGTGACACTGCTAGCTTCTCTGATGGGAAACCAGAGCAGCATGAGGTGGTTGGTTTATCTGGAACACATGTTTATGCTCCTTGTGTTGTGATATCTGCCTGCTGTCTTTGGTCTTGTAAATTTCAGTTGCCTGCCAATGCACAAGAATAATGCTCTTGTAAATTTAGCTGGCAACATGTGGATCTGCAAAATGGTTTAACCTCAGCCTATTCACAGCTATGAAAGGCTGTATATTGCCCCTCCTGAAACAAGTTTAAGGCAGCCTTTTGGGACAGGAGAGCTCATCTTTATGACCCAAGCCCATGCCAAATAATAGCGTAGAAACTGAGTATCCTGCTTCCTGGCAGAGTTCTTGGGGAATTGACTAAAACTCTGATACTGCAAAGCAGTTAAGCACACGCGTAGCTTTAAACCCGCAAGTAATCCTATTGGCTTCAATGGGACGACTTCCGTGAAGTGCTTTGCTGAATCAAAGCATTAATCTTGTGAAAGGCTTACTGTAGGTAAGGAATAATAATGGCCCAATAATATGCAATGGGCTGCCTCAGCCAAAAGGAAATTTTAGTGTGAAGATAAATAGAGCAAGTTAACCTGTGATTAAATTGATCTGATTCAAATTAATGGTAGGAAATATTCTCTCCCTTTGGTTTTTATGTAATTCATAAAATAAACTGTGAATTCTTTGTTTCTGCCTACTGCAATGCTAAGCATGCTTAGTATGAATTACAAATGCATATTTTGCTGAAAACCTTAACAGAGTGTGGCTCTTTTCCTTATGAAGTGGCATTATCTAAACACACCTGTACAGACGCACATCAGCTTAATCCAAAGTGGAGAATTAACCCAGAGCTGTAGAGTGAGGACTTTTCTGCTAATTATATATTTCAGTCTCAAATAGCAAACTAAAAAAATGTCATTTTGTTTTCTTGGGGGAAAGAGGAGGGAGTTAGTTGTATTTTCTCACCCAGAATTATGTTCTGAACGAGTTGGTCTTTTGGAAGTTTGAGGGTTTTTTCAACATGTAGCTTATTTAAAATCCAACACTCTGTTTCTCCCTTTCATCCATCTTTCTAAATAAAAGATTTAGGAAGGACACTTTTTTAATATTTTGCTTGGATATTTTTGGGCTAGATTTTCATAAAATCTAGGCAAGTCATTCTGGCTAAGCAATATGTATGTGCATCAGATAAAATGGCCTTCATTTCAGACTGAACTAGACCACAGATAAAAGATGCGAGTGAGAAGGAGCGCTCAGAACCCCAAGCAAAGTCATGCCCGCTCCCAGGTGTACAATTTCTAACATTCAGAGACTGAGCCCCTACCTACAATCAGCAGAAACTGTAGCTGATCAGCACCTTTGAAAATCAAGCCAATATTATGCAAACTATTTTTCTTGTGATTAAAGATGAAGGTTTTAGTTTGAGCTGTTACTTATATGCTCCATAAACCCCTGCTTCAGCAAACCGCTTATGTGCTATTGAAGTCAATGTGTGTGTTTGCATCTGCTTGAAATTTCAGTGCATTTATCGCACACCCATTCCTGCTTTTCATATGTAAAAATAACAAGGTTTTGAAAACTAGCCCTAGATCTAACTGATCTTTTGCTTTATGGGGGTGGGGGACCTCATGCAATAGTTTTATAATGTAGGCATTTTCTTTTCTGTCCACTTAAACAGAGCAACAACAAAAATCCCTTGGTTTACAGTAGTGTTTTAATGTGACAGAGCTGAGTAAGGTGATCTTCATAACTTTGTGCAAAATTGCATTGCCATGTTTATACTGACTCACTGAAAACTTTCTTCTGGGAAATTTGTCCCAGCAGCGTCCTCTGTGAAAATTACAGTGTCTACAGATTTTTTTTTTTACTATAGAAATCTCTTTGCCTTAAGTGGGTATTATGCTACTTGCTCCTTCCATTGTGAGGGAGTTATTTTCATTGTCTGTTGTGCATATGGTTCTTATTTCTGTACCTCTGTTTGTATCAGTTATACATATCTTATTTTTTAAAAGCCCACCAATTAGAAGTGTTTATAAATTAAATTCACACTTAAGCAGCTGGATGTATGTCAGTAGTACCATATTTTAAAAAACCTTTGCTTTTTACTGTGGGATACATTTTTGCCTAATGGAGTTATGATTGGAGAAGTCTTTCCAAAAGAAAATGTATGCAAATGTCTATTTTATATAAAAGTGAGAAAACAAACCACCGTGTCTGGTTTTGTTCTGTCAGATGTGGGATTCGCTACATCCTACAATAAACCACCCATAAATAATTTTACTTAGGACTGTATTTTGCCCCTCACTCTGCTGAGTAGCCCCTTACTGCAAATATAGTACCATTAACTTCCATGACCACTCATATAGGAGGGTGCTCTCAGTATAAGTATTAGAATTTGGACCATAATAAACAGTAAACAGGACAACAATCAAAGGCTGCATGAGGCAAATGGCAACAGCTGATATGTGCTTAAGCAACATCATCAACAATTAATCTGTTAATAAGCACATTACTACGGTGAAAATAGTTTATATATACTAGGCGATATCTGGAGGAAATGTACCAGAAAAGAGCAGGAGAGAAAAACAGGAAAAAGAATCTCATCTAAACTTCTTGCCTGAGGTTGTCAGTTTTTCAGGGCAGTGAGCATGCCATTGCATGTCTGTAGAGCTTCTAACACCAGGGGACTCCTTGCTGATCAGTGCCTGTGTGGAACTATCACAATACAGATGATGATAGGAATGTTTGCTGAAAGCCTATTTCCCATCAGCCCCAAAATCTAAAGCCATGTGCACAACCTAGGCTGTGGTCTGCCTTCATTGTGGGTGTAAATCCCCTGGAGGGAACTTGCATGTTGAAGGCAGAACATGCCCCTTAACATTCTTCAGTCCTTAGGTGGCAAAATATTTATTGATGAAGCTTGTGGGCTAAATCACTGAAGAGGTCAGCCTTGTATATAGAGATATCTGTGGCACCCTGTACATTGCTACATGCAGAGAAAACATGACCTGGATACCAGTGGGTCTGTGTGTGGCTTTCCCCCTTAGCACAGGAGAGCCTTCCCTTTGTTGTTTTACAGGGGTCTGAGGCTCCAAAGCCTTCGGGTGGCAAAACCAGAGTGAGAGGAGGTTAAACGGGGCACAGGGCTCAGACCTCTTTCACCTCCCTTTGTATCTCCTTCATGGCTATTGCAGAGTAGCCACTGATGAACCTATCCATTGATGTTGCTGCTCTTTCTAATCTACCACCAGAGGTGGAAGGGGTTGGAGGGTGGAGCACTAAAGCAACAGCTATCTTGTCAGGATTGCTCTTCTTCCTTGACACAGATCTTCTAGGCTGTGGGATATGGCCTCCTAATTCCACAGCCTCCTTAACTCCTCCCACCAAAGGAGGCACTTCCAGGTAAAACTCTGCAAGAGTAACTTCTGAGGATTTTTCTATAGCATGTTCTAACTCCATATGCAAGCCTAAGTTTATATTTCTCATTCTGCTGAGTGATAGTTCATGTTAGGGCCTTGCAGATTGACTTTCCTGTTGGAGAAACCAATTATGAGGTCTGGGTATATTTTTAATAAAATATGTTTATTTTATGCTAACTACATTAGTCCTGGAACAGAGGTGGTCATAAACAGCATGCACTCAAACTCCTCTTAAAAGAATCTCACCCAAATGTGGATGCCCAGCCTCTAGAGAACAATTCTATCACCAGAATTAGCTCTAGTTAGTGATTAAAGTGGAGAGCAAGACTCCCTTGCTACTTGCCATAGCCTATCTGAAAAGAAACATCAAAAAACTAACAATTCAAGCATTTTCCTCAATAACTATGCACTTTTCACACGCTAAGGCATATATGTATAACAGCCTCCCTTGGGACAGCTGCCATAACTATTAGGTCACTCCTGTCCTGCCCCTACGCATGTTGAAGTAGTACTTTACTCTGCAAGTACCACCAGGGAAATCCAGAATATTTTTAGTGGGAGTGAGAATGGTAGCAGAATTCAGTCCCTTGAGAGCAAATTATATTTTCTTTGGCCTTCAAATGCTTTAAATGCATTTCAAAGCCCCTTATTTTTGCAGCTCCTCTTTGCAAAGGCTTCTGGGGTGAGTAGACCAATGCTGGGGAGGCACACATTGTGTCTAGATAATGAGCTATAGTGTGCTTGTTCGAAAACTAACCTACACTGATTTCTAGATTTACTAGACACCTCAGTGAACAGATAAGATCTAAATCCCAGAGCATTGTTCAATTAACTCTGATTTGTCTCTGTCCCAGAGCTATTATCCAAAACAGAGAGTTGACTTGCCACACCTTCACAGTTAATTATTTTCTTGCTACAAATGCTATTGTTTAAGGCATGAGATTATTAGTCTCACAACTATAGTTGTTCTGGAAGGGGTAAAGAAAATACAGCACATATTTCCATAGCCTGGAAAGTTAACTCAAACCCTGAGATAATAGGTCCAGAGTAAAACTGGTAGAACTAACTACTAAAAATGCCCAAGGGTTGGGTGCAATAGAATCCATATCCAAATCATCCCTGCTCTTGATTTATTTAAAACAAATCAAAGCCAGCGCCAGCATTCTCTCTTTTTAGTCCATAGCGATGCATTTTTAATCTGCAGTTACACAGGGGTGACAAGATGAAATTTTCAAATAAAGAACCGTCAGAATCAAACAGAATTGTAAATCTCAAAAACTGAAATGAATTAAAAACAGGACTATGTAGCACTTTAAAGATTAACAAGATGGTTTATTAGGTGATGAGCTTTCGTGGGCCAGACCCACTTCCTCAGATCAAAAATGATCTGAGGAAGTGGGTCTGGCCCACGAAAGCTCATCACCTAATAAACCATCTTGTTAATCTTTAAAGTGCTACATAGTCCTGTTTTTAATTCATTTCAGTTTTTTAGGAACTGGAAATCTGAAAATGGCCCAGGGGATCAAGTTTCTCACTCTGCCAAGTTGGAGTGGGGCACGGGGAGATATCAGTGTCACACTGGTGTTGAAAAGGGGGTAGTCTTGGATCCAGCCAGGGACAAGACATTAATAAAAACCCCTGTTCATTGCGACAGCATTAAATAGTTGAGTGTAGGCTGGTTTTTATGTTATCGCTGGCTCATTTTTGGCTGTAACAACCAACATTACAAATCTATGCACCCTTTTTAAATGCACGACAATAGATTTAAAGCATTTGAAATGTAACATATTAAGCAAGGCTTTCAGTTTAACATTATTCCCTTTAGTTACGTAGTGTCTTTGAAGGGGAATAACCTTCCCAAAGC